GTGACCTAAACTTTGAAGACGAGAACCGACTCAGACAAAACATTAAAACACAAAATCAAAACATTAAAGAAATAACTTTTTCTGTTATCACTAGTTAAATACAGCTACTCCTCGACTTACGACCGCCTCGGTCGTACCAAAATTTTGTCAAATTACCACTTTCGAGTCCCGACGTTAGTGATTGCGCTGTGTGCCGACAAAATTTTTGTTTGTAATTCCCTTTAAAATGGCTGGCAAGCGTAAGAGTGAGAGTTCTCGTGGTGCCGAGAAGAAGAATTGACACCCGTTTTAGATTTTCTATGTACGGTATTATTTTCGACTTGCGACCCGGTCGGCGGTCCCTATCCCCGTCGTAAGTCGGGGACCGACTGTACCGTAATGTGCTGGGTATATACGGTATAGCTCTACTGTATATCATTATCTACAAGAGTTAAGTCGGACTCGCGAACGAGCCTCGGGAACTCGACTCGTCCGTCTGTCGAGAAGCTCCTGTATTGGCTTATAATCGACGTGTACGGTCACCCAAAAATAATATCTTTAGCCACGGGGTCGACATGATTCGACCAATGTTACACGACCCGTTTCAGAACTGTTGCTAACTCTACGTCTACACCTCTGAGCATACGTATGTTTTTGAGAGATGCGAATCCTCCGAGGCTTCCGATCGCACGTCAAGCGAATTGAGATTGCGTGTCGTAAATGGACGCCGACGCCGTGCCGGTCATTAATGGGATCTTACGTCAAACGAACCGAGGAATTATCGGAAAGACGCAACGGGGCGAGCGAACCCGCTGTATCGCGATGGGTCAGCCGCCACGAAACGACCGGCGACGCCCCAATTTAAATTCTTATTGTGACGTTAAACCGACACTATTTACGAATCAATAATATTTGGCAGATCCCAATTAGAGCGATATACTGTATATTGCTGTAGCTGTTCACTCTAATATCAACTACTATTTCCTTGGTCACCTCTCATAAATCATACGTGTCGTCGACGACTATATTCTGCAACTCGGTACGAATGAAACCGTCACTACGACACGGTGAAATGTTCGCCTCGAGGTCCGTCTCGGTTGTGATCCGAAACTCTTCCATTTAAAGTATATTTCCATGTTATTGTAATCCTCAGTCAGGGGCTTCTTTACATATGCCTTGCTTCTACCCAGCACGATACATACATTAATATAGCTTAATGGATTTCTTGTTATAGTAAAGCATATACTGTACGGTTGTATGTCACGCGAGGATGACTCCCTCTCTCGCTACCCGCCGTCTATGGCTGTTGCTCATATAGTGACCGGATGTACCTGTACCAATTTATGCTGATGCACTGTAGATCACATCAAAGTCTTTCACCCAGCGTTTCAAATTTTACCGCTAGAAAATCTATCAATACTTTTTGGAGACTACATAATTGGGGGGGGGGAGCTTTTTTCATTGAAGAAAAGTATCTTGGCTTTTATAATGTGAGTCTATAGGAATATTGATTCGATTTACCATAGGTTTTTATAAGACACAGTACTCTTACAAACTGGGGAATGCCTGTAGAACTTTCCTAACATTCAAAGTACCACAACAATATTAAATACAATACCACAGACTACTTGAGGTCCAGTAAATTTCATGTCCAGCCAACTTCATTCTAGTTCACATCAGGTCCACTGTAGGCAGTGTTGGAGAAAGTGCCTGAAAATATTACTTAAGATAAAGTACTGCACTGTTGATATGTAAAAATTTAAACTATGTCCTGTAGTCTTCTTCAAAACTATGCAAATAAAAGTTTACTCAACTCAACTGATTCATATAAGTAGAAAAAAGTATTTAGAGTACCACAGCATATATAGAGTATCATAATTAATAAACAATGACATTATGTTTTGAAAACGAAACTTAAAGTTATTAATATACTGTACTGTACTTTAAAGAAACACGAAATAAACACACATTCAAAATTGGGTATGGGATGAAAAATGTGAATCTAGGCCATATTTTGGAAGTGTCGCGTACTGCCGACGCCAATGGGACGCGACTTTACGCACAAACATTTACATAAATGCCCACTTTTATAGGATTACTGTACAAGTGTACTGAAATACAAGTACAGGTTGTACCTCTCCGGTCCGGCAATCAAGGGACCCGACCGGTGCCGGACGCCGGAAATTTCCCGACCGTGGAAATTCGCCCTCTTCCTGGACAGATAGTGACTTCTGTTTACACTTGGAAGCACTAGCACCACTTTCTCTGCTTCGTGGTCTCTTTGAAGACATATTGAAGGGTTAAATGTCGTACAGTACCTTCTCAAATTTCGCGAGTTTTTAATTCGACGTTTTCTATTTGAACGCACAAAAAAAACCGACACATTTAAAACTTTTGACGGCGGAAACTCAAATTTCGACGGGTTTGAACGGCCCGCCGACGTTAGGACGACGTGCAAGATCGTGAAAACGGCGTTATTTCTCTTATGTACGAAAGATTCATTATTATTTATTACTGAAAGTCTTTTGGATTGAATTAATGTTAGTGTGTGCAAAATGAGCAATACAATTCATTAATAATACGCTCAATATTAAAACGCGAGGAAATGAGACGGCACCGTTTTCGTCGATTACAAAACCGGTGACTGACTGGTTCTACGTATAAAACTGAAGAAAATAAGACCCTGGTTGTAGCTGTAGAAAAATTAATATGGTTCTTTTAAGTAATGTTAATAAATGGAACAATAGAAGTAGCTAACGATAATGGTAAAGAAAAACGGAGATCGCGTATGCGAGTGCGCACGCGTGAAAACGTATCGTCATTACTTTACGTAAGAATGTGAAAGCAACACTTATTTACTGTTCATATATATTTTAATTAATGTTTCTGAATTTGTTTTTATTGAATTAATGTTTGTGTGTGCAAAATTAACAATACAATTTATTACTAATACGTGTAATATTAAAACGCGCGACGAGACGACACGGCTGCCGGCATTGTTTTTGTTAAAGCTTACAAAACCGGTGACAGATTGGTTCTACATATAAAACTGAAGAAAATAAGACCCTGATTGTAGCTGTAGTAAAATTAATGTAAAAAAATTAATATGCTTGTTTGAAGTAATGTTATTTAATGTAAATAAATGGAACAATATAAGTAGCTAACCATCAATGGTAAAAAAAAAGTGAAACTGCGCGTATGTAAGTGCGCACAAGTGAAAACATGTCGTCGTTACTCTACTTAAGAATATGAAAGCAACACTTATTTACTGCTAGAATATATATTGAATGGTTAAATGTTGTATAGAGAAGCACAGAGAGAGAGCTGCCGGATGTAAACAAACCTTAATTTCCCCCGGCTTTGTCGTTGTTGTTGTTTTTTTACGGGGATTAGCCCACCCGGGCATAGGTCACTGACCCACATTGGGGCCTGAGGGGCAAAAATTTAATACTCCTGTAATAATAATAATAATAATAATAATCAAGATTAAAAAAAAAAAAAGAAGCTGCCTATCTACCTATAGGACAAACTAAAATCGTTCCGGATCACAGAATGCCGGACTAGAGAGGTACAACCTGTACTCTAATACACTCGGCTCGTACGCCCAATGACACGACGCGAAGTGACGACGTCGGTATTACCTCCCAGCGGCGTTTCTCCGTTTGCCGTTAACGGCGTCGTGTGCGAGACCGGACGGGTCTGTACGGTCGAGTCTCGACTTGTCGTACCGAGGTGTGTTGTTGGTCCTTGAAGCTTCCTGGAAATGTGACCAATAGCTATATAATACACAACACTGTAAAACTATTATATTATAGGCAGGGATTATTTGACCGGTACTCGGCACAATAACCGCCGCTTATTTGACAGAGATCTAAAATAAAACTAAATCCTTTTGTCAACAGAAATTATACAATTAAATAATACCATAATGTAATGACTTGTTTAATGCCCCCAACCATCCCGACTACAATCCTATACGATCCCCGCAGGTCCCGGTCAAATGGCCGACGGTTATTTGGCCCAGAATCGTGGTCAAATAACATCTTCGTACACTTATAATAAAGGCACTTGTTTGTTTAGTACCACGTGGAGAAACTGATTACTCAAATAGGTTAGGTTAGGTTGAAATAATCTTGTTCCAATGGTTTTTGATGTATTTTCAACTTTTATGACCTTCGGAAAATAGCTGCACGGCCAAAACGATAATTTTACCAGTTTTTATTTGGATTTTTTCTAATAAATAAATATGATCTTAATTTCCTTACACTAACAAAAACAATGAATCTTCCAAAGTGAGTTAGACTTTCAACATGAAGGGTTAAAAAAACAACATTGAAAACCCTACCTAACCTAATCTAAACTACCTAACTTCTTGCGATGGACCAACAAAAACCGAATCGGCATACCCGGTTTTGTACGCGTCCAATAGTGTTTACATTTCGTGGACGCGACCGACGTAGAACGAAACTGAGACGATCTCGACGGATTCTTATCGTGCTGCCGGGAGAGAGGCACAATTTTGCGGGATTTATTATTTAAATCTCTCTGCTGTGACCAATCAGAGGACAGTGCAAATTTATTATGATATTTACACAGGAGCAAAAACTTTTTTCTAGATATATTTAAGCCTCCTTCGTGACCTAAACGTTGAAGACGAGAACCGACTCACAGACAAAACATTAAAACACAAAAACAAAACATTAAAGAAATAACTTTTTCTGTTATCATTAGTTAAATACAGCTACTCCTCGACTTACGACCTACTCGACATACGACGGAGCGGCCATTTTTTTGGTCTGGTAAACACAGCTGTGAGCGCTAGCTCCCAAATTTGGGATGTTTTCGAGCCTATTACATTATCTGAAGGATATATAGACTTACCTACTTGCGTATAAGGACCTGAGGATAAGATAAGTATCGTCAAGCAACTTTGGTGTTGGGAACTTACTGTTTATCTTACGAAAATAACTGCTCGGGGTCCCATCACTCCTGGCTGGGTGTTGTGGGATGTCAACATTGCCCCATGGAAAGTGAATTTTCGCTTAAGAACTCTACATGGAAGAGTAAAGAAAAGATAGTATTGGACGAAGTTCTTGAAGACCTTGAGTTGAGTAGTGATGAGTCTAATACGAGTGATGAAGCACAAGGGAAGTTCGAAAGTGAGAAAATACAGCTACAACAAGAGGTAGTGAATAACAAAGAAAATTCTAAAAGGATGAGGGAGACAAGCTGGCATGAGGACAGTGAAAGCGGAGAAGTGAGAGGAGAAGAGACAAAAACATCTAGGACAAAAAACGTGTGTGGGTGGTAATAATAATGGAAATAACAGAAAGGAGATAGTGGAGAATGGATCAAGAACAGAGCAAAGTATGGAATTTGAAGGAAGCAGACAAGAACACACACAAGGTGAAGTTGGTCGTGTCAGGAAGAGATTAATTTTTCCACAGTCACGCCCGATGACCTTCCTTGAAAAATTAAAATGGGCAGTACAACTAGGACGGGAGCATCGCAGCTTTGAGCCTCTTTTGAAAGAAGGCACACACAAGCCTTATCTTACAGTGGGGACCATGGAGGCTGTGGAATTGTTGACAACTGTTGGGTACAAGGGATTACTGATGGTTTTGACAGAGGAGAGCGACATACTACTTACAAAGGTAATAATCTTCAGGTACCCTGTAATACTAGATCCAGAATACTTATTGGATGACGAAAGATTTGTTTGGGTCAAGAGGCATTTAATAAGGGGAGAAGAGAGAAGCCAGGTTATTGCTCTAATGAGAGGAAAGGTTCCAGAGAAAGTGTTCATCACAGGAGCAGGGTATAGGAAGGTGGCACTATATGTGGAGGGACCAATAATGTGTCTCAAGTGTTGCAGATGGGGACATAAGGCCTGGAGCTGTCAACTGGACCCACGTTGTAGATTCTGTGGGAAGAGGCACGAATCTAGCAACTGTAAGGACAAGATCAAAGCAGGAGAGAAAGTGAAGCCTTGTTGTTGTAATTGTGGTAAAACTCACAATGCTAGTTCAATTGCATGCGAGATGAGGCCACGTATGAGAAGTGACCAACAAAGGAATTATTCAGAGAACACTGAGGAAGTACGCTGTGGTCTGACAGTGACAAGACAGCAGGAGAACACACAGACAGTGATTCCTGAGAATGCCTGGCATGAAGATTCAAGAAGGATAAGGACTGCGCTTGCGGCCGGAAGCGTTGTTGATGCCAGAAACAAACAGAGTAATAAACAAGTAGCAAGTGAGAGTAGTGGTGCAGCCCTCCAGGTTAGTGATAAAACTGTGCAAGAAATTCTGGGAGAAGAGGTGCTTAAGATGTTTCAGCTTTTGCAAAAGTTAGGTCAGAAAATAGAAGTGATAGAGAAAAGACTTGATACAGTGATAAATAAAGAAAGGGAAAACAAAGCTGTGAATAATGTAGAATTAGAAGGGAAAGAGGAAAGTGAAGAGCTCAAGCCTTTGAAAAATTCAGTGCTTAAAATAAGTATTAAAGGGAAGGAGAGGAAAATAAAGGATTGTGTAGTGCAGGGAGCAACAACTGAAAGTTTTAAAAAGGTGTTGGTAAAGTGTAAAGATGCTGATAAAGAAAAACTTTTGAGGAAATGGGAATCTGTGCAGGAGGATTGGGCCTTCTTAAAGAATCTGATTGGAAAGGATATAAAATGTGTAAATATTAATCCTGGATCTAGCTAGCCTTAAGATAATGTCCTTTTTTTTTTTACTTTTATCCTCTTCGCCACTGATCGGCTTGTTAGCCGCAGGCGATCGGTCACGACTCTTTTCCTTTATATTCTTCACCAAAAGGTCGGCTCGCTAGCCGCCCGGGCGATCGGTCACGTCTCTGTCACGCACTGTTGGCAAATACTGGGCATGCACCGGCTCCTGAATGTACCTGAACCCGCTCCAGTGTTGGTCAAGTCTTCTCTTGAAAGAGCTCACACTCGGTGCCGTCACAACACTTTCTGGTAGATTGTTCCAAGAGTTTACAACCCTCACTCCGAAAAAGTTTGCCCTCACGGTTTTCCGGACTTGCGGCTTCTTCAATCTTGAGCTGTGACCCCTTGTGGGGCGAGCGTCCGCCAGCTCCAAGTAAGGACACTCAACTGAGTAGTGCCCCCTGAGATGCTTATAAACCTCAACTAGGTCCCCCCTTGCCCGTCTGTAGTATAAGCTAGGCAAGTTCAGGCGCTCCAATCTCGCAGGGTAGCTGAGATGCCGAAGTGCAGGCACCAGCTTGGTGGCCCTCCTTTGAACATTTTCAACCAACTGACAGTCCCTAGCATATCTCGGGGACCAGATGGGGTGACAGTACTCCAGATGGGGAAGCACTTCACTCCTGAAGATCGTCACGAGGGACGGACCGTCTAGATATCTGAACGACCTTCTTATAAGACCCAATAATTTATTTGCCTGATTTACCTTCTCACAATGGCCCGAGAACTTCAGCTCATTGTCAACATACACACCTAGGTCCTTCTCACACAGTCTCAACTAGTACATTTTCTTCATCCCGTTGGGACATATGGTACGCCTCCTTACCGTTGGTACGCCCCAGGTGCATCCTCTTACACTTCGTGACATTGAATCTCAGCAGCCATTCCTTCGACCATTCCTGGAGCCCACAGAGGTCCTTCTGCAGCTCTTCACAGTCCGCTTGGTTCTTAATTTCCCGAAATAACTTGGCGTCATCGGCAAACATTTGTATGGAGGAGTGTACAACGTCAGGCATATCATTTATGAAACAAACAAACAACAGCGGGCCCAATACACTACCCTGCGGTACCCCACTTGTTACAGGTACAGATGACGATTTCGTGCCATTAATCACCACACATTGCTTGCGGTCATGTAGAAAGTCTTCTATCCACGCTAGGACATTTCCCCGAATTCCGTACCCTTCCAGTTTGATTTTCAGCCTTTCGTGGGGTACACTGTCGAAAGCCTTGGCAAAATCTAGGTAAATATTGTCGATATTACCACCCCGTTCTAGAATATGGGTCCAAATATCCAATACCTTGAGCAATTGTGTCAAGCAAGAGCGCCCCGGCATAAAACCGTGTTGGCAATCTTTTACAAGGTTGTTTCGTAGTAGATGTTCCATCGCTGCATCTCTGATAATACTCTCAAGTACTTTACATATTATGCTGGTCAGGCTCACCGGTCTATAGTTGTTCGTGGAGTGCCTATCGCCCTTCTTGAAGATAGGACTCACATAAGCCACTTTCCATTCACTGGGGACCATTTGTTCATCCAGGCATTTACAAAACAGAATCTTCAGGGGCTCTGCAAGCTCGTTGCACAGCTCCCTTAGCACTCTAGGATGCACCCTTCAAGAGACTGGGGATGTAACGACCACGGTCGTACACGTCAGTTAACGCCAAAATCAAATGATTCATATTACGCTCAATAGCCCACAAAACATGTACATCTGCTTTTAGTTTGAGTCCTCCATCTGAGGAGTCCGTTTTCTCGTCACTTCAAGACGCCTCAGTCCTCCGTTATCCCATTTTCTCTGACTTACTGAAACCAACCTCTCTATATAATGTATTTGAATGTGAGAGAGAACACCTTTGTTTTGAGTCAACTCAGATATGTCTGTTTACAGTTGGAACATTCAAGATCCATTGTGAGTGGTGTTGAACGCTTCAACTGCCCTTATTGTTGGTAAGACGTGTCAAGTAAGTGAGTGTTGAGTCTGCCAGGACAAACGATACCCATCGGTTTCGTTCCTAAGAATATCCAT